ATTTTTCACCTATTCATATTTCTTTTGACCGTGTTAATTATTTGATGTGTTTTTGTATGACAAGTCGAGGGATTTTTTTTAGATTGCGGATCGGAGCGACGACTGCCAAAACACATGTAGTCGCTGCCTCCATCGGTTTTTTTCTGATAACTTCATTACGAAGTTTGGCTGACACTGAAACAAAATTTAAAAAATCGATACGTTGCTTAACTAGAATTGTTCGGAATTCCAACTAACAAACTAATTAACTAGTTATAAATCTGTTGTTTGTATGCAACTTATTTTGTAATCAATGCCCAAAGTTAAAGAACAAACGTTCGTCGTTTGTATCGTCGAGGTGCGATCATAAGACGATCGAGCGAACCGGTGACCTTATACTAAGTATAAGGTATATAGAGCGAACACGGTTATAACGGATAACCGTGGGAGCGAACCATCCAATTCTGACCCATAGAGGCAAAGAGCTATCAAATTCTCCATGCTCTGGTCGCCCGCGAGTGGCCGGTACCTAAAACCGTAGGAGCATAGAACAAGCATTATGTTCTATGGTAGGAACAAGCCTGCAGCTGCAGCTGCACGACTGTATCGGACGTTTAACGTTTCGCACAATTGGACGATRGATCAAATTGTCGTATCTTATTTTTGATCCCGTTTTCACGATTTTTGCAAATTTCATATACATTTTACGCACAAAACGACAAAACACTAACGTTTGTGATATCGATTAAGTTTAAATTATTTTTACAAGCTGCTGCACACACAAAACGTAATCGACGTTTTCACGAATACGCGTTACCTTCCCCGGTGTCGCGCCCCATTCGTGATCGTTGGRAAATAATGTTTTTATGTTCCTTATCATATTTTTATTTTATTATCACCTCGCTCTGATTCATTTYACCGTCGTCCATCCGGTCCGGCGATCTATGTTTCGTAAGAAATAAAACATTTATTTCCAAATGTGTGACTTTTAAAAATTTATATTAATATATACAAACACCAAAAACATCAACCATGTATTCTGTTTGGCGACAGTATCAATATGTCTATAGAAATACAGTAAGTACATTCAGTATAATATGATAACGTGGGGAACAAAATAAAAATATTGTTTTATAAATATAAAAAAATAAAGTAATATAAGGCCGGACCTTACAATGTCCGGTTAAGTGTTCGTTAACAGCTAACCGACAGTAAGTGGGTTTTTACCGGCAGAATTCCGCCAGTTAAGTGTCCGTTAACTTTAATCGGACATTGTGAGAATGGCCCTAAATGTGGTTTTCGGTTAAAATTATTATATTATATTTTTTGTGTTTCTGAATACTATATCTAAACTAAATTCATTTCTATGAATGTAAATATTAACATGATWTTTATATGATAGTTTATAGTAAAAATTATATTATTTTGTATTAAAAAAAAATCTTCATGTTCTAAGTTACACCTCTAGGTAATGTTCCTATTTTTATTTATTCAATATATTATGTATTATTTGATGTTTATATTTTAGATGTTCCATTTATGATATTATTAAAGGGCTTAACATAATTTCATAATCTCATATTATTTATAAACGTTTACTTAAGTTGTAAAATATAACATCCTTTTTGTGTTCTTTTTTGGTGTTCAAAACTAATTGTACTTAATTTAGTTTTTACCAATAATTTACTTCATTTTTTTTATGCAATATGTGCATTTTATTTACCTTAATTGATATTACAGCATTACTTGAAGTATTATTCAACGACACCTCCACAAAAACCAAATTTTGTCATGCAACTGATTCATAATATAAGGGATGAAATTTCTAAAAGTAAAGAAATGAAAAAAAATTTGGAACAATTTCGTGCTGAAAAAAAGAGATTGGAAGAATCTGATAACTTAATTAAAGCTAGGTAATATGATTATAATTGATTTATTAATATTTTGGCGATTAATTTATAAAYATTTTAGACAGAAATTGAATACAATAGAATCAGAAACATTCAAAGTGACTCAACAAGCCAAAAATGTAATGAGTGTTGTAATGACTTCAGTTAAGAAAAAAGTAAATGAAGCTAGTGAATCTGATTTGGCAAAAAAAGCAGGTATATTTTTCATGGACTTAATATATTGAAATGTATTTAATTGTTTAAATTATTGTAAATAAAGGTCTACTAGGCGGAACTATAAGCAAAACGGTTCTTGAAAGTGGAACTAAAATTGGTCAGTCTGGACCTGTTAAGACTTTTTCGAATACTGCTGAAGCTATTTCAGCTGAAATAGAAAGTGATACAACTTCATTAAATTCACATGTAAGTGTTTTTATTTTTAATATTTAGTATTTTTGTAACAATATTTATTCCCACTTATTTAGGTTTATAAAGCACCTACTACTTTGAGAAAACGGTCAGACTTGGGTCACCAGGGAACAGTTGTTCCTAATGAAACAGAGACAGGTGTTACTGTTCATAAAGATTCAATGTAAATACATTTTA